CAAATATGCTATTTTTAAACATTTAGGCAATGGTCCACTTTGCCTGGGTCTCTCAAAAAATGGCCTTGAACAGATATTGTACATATATTCTTACAGAAAATTAGTGGTGAAATTGTTAGAAGTTGGTGAATCAACAATCTTCCAATATGTACAGTTCCAATATGTACAATGTTTAAGGCCGATAGCAAAATAGAAAAAAATTGGTAGATTTCATATATTATTGCCTACTGTGACTGTGGTTGTATCTACAAATAAATCATCTCAATGGAAGGTAACATAGCCTATAACCCATAGGAGAAAAATCCATCCCATCAGTCAGTTTGCTAACACTTAGTGTACTCACCCGCCCAGTCCAGGAACTCAACACACTCAGCCTGGGAATACCGAGCAGCCACATCTCGAGCTCTTTCTTCCCGGAAGTTCAAAGCTTCTATGTCAACATCCAGTTCCACTAGTGCTTTCAAAGTTTCCAAACGACCCCAGGCTGCAGCACAGTGTAAGAGTGTATACCCTAATAAACAGAATGAAGATGATCAGATCAAATAGATTACACTGTTTTAGGCTATTTTATGTCTGAGAAGGTCATAATGGTAATCAAGTACTGAACAATAACTATGAACCAGGCACTATTCTAAGTGCTTTACATATAGGAAACTCATTTAGTTTCATAAAACCAGTATGATGTCAGAACTATTATAATCCTCATTTTATAAATTAGGAAACCAAAGTCCAGAGAGGTCAAGAAACTTGACCAAGGACCACAGCCAGTAAATGATGGAAGCAAGATACCAACACAGACTGTCTGAAGCCTGAGCTCTTCGACATCTTCTAAGGAAGATAGCAATCTCCCTAGCAGTCATCTACTTTGGAACACAACTGGACCTATAACTTTAAGGAATTTTCATCAAACTCTAATTACTCCAGCATTATTGTTAACACAAGCATACAAATTAGTACAACTGTTATATACATATATATTCATGTGCGTGTACACACATACTTGTGTATGTATATATTCTTTGGAAAGAAATTATGACCTATCAAATTAGAAAGTTATTTCTTAGACTTTCTAAGGTGATTACCATGAGGTATAATTGTAATGAAAAGAAAATATTTTCCTTCAAATTATCCCATCTCTAATTTGAAAATAGAGATATCTCTTTGAACAGCTTTTTGCTTTTTAACTAGCACAGCAGCCTTTTTATGAGAGTAAGCTATACTTTTTCTTTCCAAAGAAAACATTGTTGGTTCACATTTGTCTTTTTTAATTTCCTCATGTATAGAAGGAGATTACATGACAGTTTCCTGACCAATTTCAAAACCATAGAGTTCACATTAGACTTGTTTGGGAGGTCTTTGAACTTCAGTATTTTTCTTACAACAGAAATTCTGCAATATCACAATGTAGGTCATCTAAAGTTGTACACTTCAGTTTGCCTTTTTGTATACATTGAGCAATTAAATCAATGATATTGTTCTCAACCCATAAATGATTAAAATTTCATATTTTTTAGAATATCAAATAATACTATTATACATATAAAAATAACAGTATTTCAGGCATAAAGTATTTCTGTTACTTAACATAGGGGGTAAGGGTAAGTATCCCAGAAACATGGTAACAGTAACACCTGACACTGTGATCACCATATTGCCTGCCATGTCCCACCCCTCAACTCTCCTGCTTTGCTAGGCATTCACGACTTCAAGACTCAGGACAAATATTGCCCTCCTATGAAACCATTCCTGAGCATGCCCAACACCTCCAGGCAAAGTTGGCTTATCTCTGCTCTGAGCTACCACTGTACCTCATCCCACCTTATAGTAATTATTTGTTTATACATCTGCTTTCTGCTTAACCATGAACTCCTCAAAGGGAATTGATTTTATCATTATATCCCCAGTTCTCAGCACAATGCTTGGCTGTTCCTCCACCCTTAATAAAAGGTTTGCTGAAGGTATAAAAAGACACAGTTTAAAATGGCAATTAGTTCTAATAATGCCTGTTCAAGTATAGCCAGATTTGGTGGCCAAAGCCTTGCCAGAACCAGAGGGAGTTCCATCATCAATGAACTATAAACTACAGAGGCCTATCTTTGGCTCAAACAGAAAATAAGACACTTCCCAATAGGCCAAAGTCAGTAGTGCAGAGAGCTGAGACTGTAAGAACAGTTTCATCTTCTTCCCTTTGGATCAAAGGGTCCCATTCTCCAAAACTAATATTTAAAAGGAAAGGGAACCCCGAATGTAAACATGATTCATCAATCACCTTGAAAATAATGTTCCTTCCTTTTTGTTTCTGAGTATTATCCACAAATAAATGGCATACACCCTCTCACTTTACAGAGCCATCTAAAGTTTGTTAATTTTGGCCAATGGTTTCTTATACCCAATAGATCACTAGTGTTCTAGTTGCTGGTTGAAAGTATTCCATTCTTATGCCTGAATAACAGGCATAAGAACAGGCATAATAAGAACAGGCATAATAAGAACAAGCATAATAACAGCCTGAATAACTTTCCTTAATTCATAGAAAATGTTATTATACAAAATTTTCTCAATTTTAAGTTTTTTCTCTTGTAATATTTTTCTTAAAATCTTTAGGACCTGCTGAGTCTCACTAGTAAATGACCTAAAACTTAAACAAATTATAAACATAAAAGTTCAGAAGTAGTTAATCATGCTTACATTGTCGTTTTAATTTTTTTGTGATGCTTATTGTTGTGTTTTTTATTCAAAAAAGTCATTTGATAGCATGAAAAATGTCAAATGTCAAATTTTCTATTATGTATTTGGGTTTTTGATTTTTTTATTGATATATCATAGCTGTTCATATTTTGGAGGTACATTTGATATTTTCACACATGTATACAATGTGTAATGATCAAATAAGGGTAATTGGAATATCCATCACCTCAAACATTTATCTTTTCTTTGTGTTGGGAACATCACAATTCTCCTGTAGCTGTTTTGAAATATACAATAAACCCTTATTAACTATAATTTCCTTACTGTACTATAAAATACTAGAATTTATT